TAAAATGGGACACCGTGTATAATTAACTGATTTAAACGTTGCGAAAGAATTGCGTTATGCAAAGGAAAGCAGGATCTGTCTCCTCTTTCTCGTAATTATATCATCATTTTCTTGCGATATCCCAAAAATATAAAACATATTGAAAAATCAACACATTTTATTCGAGTGCGTTCGTTTACGACGGTAACGTTCGGCCACTTCAAGCACTCTCATGTGCTATTCAATTCGCATTTGCTCCCTGCAGGAAATTATCGGCTCAGGAATACCGATGCTCGGAAGCATTAAAAACGCAACAACAAATCTTATTCGCGCGAGTAACGACGCTTTCATTCGCGTCAGTGTGACGACGTGCGTAAGCGAGCCCAAAAGTTTTCAGAGACGAGCGCATGCGATCACCAGGTCGGATTTACGAGGACAGAAAGTTTTGCGACGAGAGTGCAGGCGGAAAGAAAAATGACAGCTACGGTCTCTCTGTTTTACCTGACCGAAACTGTGACATCTCGGCGGTTCGAGCGGCTCCAGGGGCACGTTTCTCTTCTTCAGGGTGGCCGCGCAGGGCGCGCCGCCACCTGGCTTACCCCACGGCGAGTAATTGGCCAGAATTTCCTGCAGCTGCAAGGGAAAAAGAATTAGAAACGTAAAGCTGTTGCAGTTGAGCTACAAACGTCAGCCGACGCTACTGCAGTTACATTTTGCGCGAAAAACACACGTTTAAAGTGTGTGCTAAATTTTTCCGTTATGCAAGTAAAAGCTGCAATAAAACGAAGAATTTCTTTAAATTAAATTTTTACCGGTTCTCAAGAATGTCGTGTAAACGTGCGACAGGACACCGCGCGTGTCTGGTATGTTAGAAATAATTACGCTTGGCGCTCGTAAGAGATCGAAATGCGGCGTCTAGCACGACGCGACGCCGCAAATTAAAGATGGCTTTTTGCGTTTAGAAAGGAAGTCGCGCCTTGTCCCCGTTTAACTTGAAGGCGTTTAATGTCGATGCGATCGAGAACCCTGCGGGCAAATAGGATTAACCCTGAGCGTATCAACCCTTCTTGGTAACATTGCTAACGCACTTGCATTCGACCGCGTGCACTTGCACCAGACCGCGGCTGCACCAGATTCCCGAGTAATAAGAGGGATGGGACCACGAGGTAATCCCTCGGCCTGTCTTTATTAGCATACTGGTTACACGATAAATTCCGATCTCCCCCCATTGCGCGGTAAACACAATTTAATACGGTCGACGTGTTACATTAACGATACGAAATAATCACTGTAGCAATAATTACCCCGAGATTTTCACCGGCATAATTTCGACATGTATTTTGTTTGATTGAAATGGCAGAACAAAGTATTACGCGACAGATATTACGATGGACTGGATATCGCGCATATATACGCGCGTGTATGCCCGTGCATTTTTACGATATCGTATATTCCGTACGAATTGTTATTTTCAGAGGATGGTAATGAATGTAACGAGCGTATGTGTTCTGCAAATATTTAGGATCGCCCCGATGATGATTGCGCATCATCGTTATGCTGCGTCAATACCAAAATAAAATAGAGGAAGGATGAAAACCAGGTAGCGAGATTTTAAACGCCGAATATAATTGGTGTTAAAAGTATATATACACTATCCTTCATAAATATCTGAATCGAAACAAATCGTAAAGAAAATACATTTTTCAAAAATTTATTTTGAAGAGAAGAGAACTATAAATTTCCTTTTTATTTTCAATATTTTTGTTTTATTTTAAAATGCTGCACTGTAGCTTAACGAAACATCGAAAATTGACAATAAAGTATTTAAAATTTTCTTACCTTTAAAATGGTTTTTAAAACATTTATGCTTTTTCCCAATGATATATCAATATTTGATATTAGACATCAAAGAAATTGAATGGTAATCCAATCACTCGAGTTAAATGAAATTTTGTTATTTTGAACTCTCTTCTATGTGTGCCAAAATATGTAAATCAATCCCTTTTTGTAGTTAGTTTCAAAGTAAACAACGATCATATTAATATATGCACTTACCAAATAACAAAATAAATTTGAATTAAATTTAATTTATTTTCTTGAATTAATTGTTTAACGTCATTGTTTTAGTTAAATTAATAACATATTGAATAGGATTAATGACACACACACAATCTAGAAATGATTAAAAATAATTCAAGTTAGGCATAATTTGACATTATGAATTTAACAGTGGAATTTCTTGTGTAAAAACTCATTTTTACAAAATCTTTTTTAACTTCAAATATTTTGTAATCTTAAAAGAAAAAAGAAAAAAGAGAAATTTTTGTTCTGTGTTCTTGGTTTGTGTGTGCATAAATTAAAAAAAAAATTTTTAACTTAACTTTTCGTAAAATTTAAGAAAAACGTAAATGTTTCCGAACTTGTAAACGATAGTGTAAAAAGAAAAAGTTTTTAAAAGAAATCCCTAAAAATGATTTCGCGTGTTTGCTACGAAATGAGAGAAACGTAGAAAATGAGAAACTGATACTTAAATGAATAAATTGGCGCGTAACTTAAATTATCTCGAAAATTTGATTGCTTGTAGAATTTCCGAGAGTTTGCACTTTCTTGAACATCCGACGCAGACATCGATTTTATTTCTAATTACGATTCATTTCCACGGTCAAATCGGAGATAACCATTAACAAGACCCCGACGCCTAATGAGCTGTACAACATTTGTTATAAGTTCGTAACGAGCACATGGAACGAGACATACAGTTTATGTAAAGCGCACGAGGAGAGACCGTGATAGATTATTGGGTTATCTTTCGCGGCTTGTTTCTTAAGATAGTTAGAGACGGAGATTATGTAAATCCACTTTAATGGGATAGTTTTATTACCGTTCGCTCGCAAGTAATTCCCCGCTCCGAATTCAACGACACGCTTCGCAAAACATAGAAATAAACGCAACTAGGTCAGACACGTACTGAAATTACAGCAACATTTTCAAAACATCTATAATAGGAATGAGCAAAAAAATCATCCGATACTTAATATTCTATCACTATTCGATAATCTCAGTTAATTTTCATTTTTTGGAAAAATATTGCATTTTTAAATATTTATCAAATAATATTGATCGCATTTCAATGTTTATTTGCTACTGATTCTTTCATTCAGTCTAGGTCGTTTAATTACTAGTATACACAGATTGAATTTAAATGAATATTTGTTCTACGACATAACATCAGACGGTTTATGTTGTAAATACAGATAAAATAATGCGAACAACTGAGAAATATATTATTTGTTTTATTAAGAAGTTCGCCCACTATTTGTTTTTAATACAAATTCTCTCTCTCTATCCTTGTTAGAATAAAGTTATATCCTCTTAGAAAGACTTTCTGAGATAACAAGACAAAAATATTCTTGACGTATTCAATCTTATCGTAATACCTTTGCAGTATAAATATAAAATAATATTAAAACTACATCAATAATGCTATTCTGCTCTATCGAATTAAATAAGACTGATTACGATATTTATTGATTTGAGAAAAGAATAACAGATAAATTTAAAAGTTTATATATTTTTATACATTTAGAATAAATCTTTACCGGATGTTATAACGCACTCTCTAAATTCTCTAAAGTAGAATCTCATTCTAAAGAATGAAAATTGAGCCAGTCTTAAAAAAAAGAATGGTTCAATTTTCAATCTTTAAGAATAAAATTTCTACAGAATGAGATTCACTCTAAAAATTGTAAACAATATGTGATGCTGACGCCTACAGTATATATTTTAGGCGAAATTGATGTGCTGGATTATTTTATTCTAGATTTAAAAACTTTTCATTTAAGAGTAAAATATTTCTCTTTCAATAATAAATATAACTGTCTTTATATCGATTCTATTTTATGATAAATCGAAAAGTAATAGGTTTATATTTGATGATACAAGTCGACTTCTCTTTAAGACTTTTAGAGTAAACCGGTCTGAAAGATAAATTTAAAGATTGAACCAATCTTTTTCAAGACTGGATCAATTTTCACTCTTTAGAGTTTTCTATGGGTGCAAACTTGTTTGAACAATTGCTTCAATAAAATATTATACCATTCTTCTAGCAAAATATCTTTTAATTGCTTAAACGATATTGAAGGAGTAAATCTGCTTACACTCTACTTTTCAAACTACGAATAATATTCAATGATTATATAAATGATGGTCAAAGTAAATGTTGATGTTTTGGAGAATAGAGGGTAATTTTGGAAAATATAAAGAGAAGCAAATTTTCTCCTATAAATATTTTTTATATAAACAATTGAAAGATATTCTACTAAAAAATTAATATAACATTGTTAACTATTCAAGCATTGTACTCTATTGCAACAAGGATAAAATGTGTAAAAGCAAATAATGGGCCAATTATTATTAATAAAACAAGTAATAAAATAAATAGTGTATTTCCTAAGTTTCATATTATTTTATCTATCTTCTGTATATTATTTCGAATGTTTAACAATATTAAAATAATTTTCAAAATCAAACGCGGCATTGGTGGATTTTAATGTCTCGTCCGCTTGCAATACCACGAAGGATTAATTTCCAAAGTCCGCCCGTCTTCGCCTTAATAACGTTCCGGTTCACTGAACATATCCCGAGACCGTATCTCTCGCAGTAGACCCTTATCCAATCGGTAACAATAGCGAGGCGAGACAATGACATTAAGGGGCGGTCGAGACCGTAGGGCAAGAGGTATAAACGGCAGCAACGTGGCCAAACCAGAAACGCCCATTTGTGTGACACATACTTCACGTTGCTCGCGGTGCTTTTGACGTTGCAGCTCCTCCTTCCGTCGCCTCCATAACGCCGTGCCCTCCTGAACAACTCGGTGCTCACGCTTTCTCCTTGCGTCTTCTTCGACTTCCGGCTCGTACGTCGGTTCAGGAACTTCCTGCGCCATTTATGTATCGTATCCTGGCCTAGCAGGATAGAGGGAAAAAGAGAAACAAAAGATCGCACGACTATGCACGATCACGACGCGATGTGACATCTACTCCTCAGGCATGCCAGCTTCGAATATCGAATGCCAAAATAGGGCCAGGAGCGATTTGGCACAAGTCGCATGCCGCAGCACGTGGTTCTGTCATCATTCGTTATCGATTTAACAGAATATCGCTCTTCCCTCGGGAGATACGACGCCGTTGTAGTCGACGGTGTAATAGGAGTGCCGATGCCAGGACACCGCACTGTAATCGAGACGTTCAGTTTTATATGTATATCGTTTCCCGATATAAAAAACGAGTCATGGAAAGCATCCCTCTGCTCCACCTGCAGCACAAAGTTCGGAGCTTTGTTCATTCATTCGATGATTGAGCTACAATTTAATTCCACATGTCTCGCCATTGCAAACCGGCGCAGGCGTGCACGAAACAATTGCGTAATTGGATTAGAATGCCGACATTTAAATTACGAGCGTGCTATATTTCATGTTTCTAGCAGCACTTTTCAACGGTATACTTACATTTTGAGACGTTTTTTTATTATTTACCAAAGAAAAGAAAAATGTAGCAAAATGTGTAGAACATGCAAATTGAAAAGCGCAGGCTTATTGAATTCGACCGCTATAAATAATAGTGTCCCCGACTTCATATTCCGATCACGTTTAATAAATCACTTTTATCTGTCACACGAAAACAACTGTTGTATAACTTCTGTTTGTATATTTTATTGCTTTGTCGTGCATCAGATTGATATCTATAGCAAAAATATTTTGTATTTCCCGCTTGCTTTTATGTTTTTTTAAATAAGACATCATTCTTCAGAATTTCATATGGTCATCAAAATTAATTAAGAATTGATTAAGAGATAATTTATAAGAAGCTTAAAACTTATAAATCTGCAAGACTTTTAAATGTTGAAACTCTAATTCAATATCCATCCACAATATATTCGTGCTTTATTATTAATTCATCCAATTATAATATTATTTTGGATTAATAAATATAAATTAGATTAGCCATTAAAAACTATAACCACATGTATAATAATGACTTAGAAGAGAGCTCTATTTCCAATTTTCAATAACATATTTAATGTATGTGAAATATAAATATTTTATAAAAGAAATTGAGAAAGAATATATAAATATAAAATTATAAATATATATAATATTCATAATTTTTCGATCAGCTACCATATATTAATTAAATTATTAGAGATGCTTCAAAATAAAATGTATATATTATCAGAACTATATTTATCACGATTGCTCAGTTTTTAGCATTCAAATGTTCAAAGAAATATACAATGAAGAGCAAAAATAAGTTTCTTTTTTGGTGTAGCTAAGTATAGTGTTCCTATAATAGAGTTTCCACGATAAGCCATTACCTAAGCTTTAAATCTTAAATCATAAGAAACTGATCAATCATAGTCAATTATTCTTCTCACATTCAACTGTGATATTGGTCAATTTCTTACGGCTTAAGACTTAAAGCTTAGGTAATGGCTTATTGTGGAAAATCTACAATACTATTGAATAGTAGGTGCGATGACGATGCCACGGATGGCGTGCTTATCTACATCCAGCTAAAGCTCTGGATATACCAAAGTAGCGCAATCCTTTTATCTGAGCCGAAATGCCGACAACTTTCCAATTGGTTATTTCAACCGCCATTTTGGATCGAATGGCCTGTAGACCAATAAGCGCTTATTGGTATTATTGGTATATGATATGGTTAGTAAATCGAAAATGAAGGACCTTTGCGCTATTTTGGTATATCTAGAGCTTTACATCCAGCTACATCAGAAAAAGAACTCATCTTTGCTCTTCATTATTATATATGGTTCACAAACAAATTAAATATGAAATAAAGGTCATCAGAGTTATTATATCGTTATTATTCAACAAAAAATGATTATCTTTCGAGTGCAAGAACGTAACTAATCATTTCCTTTAGGTTTTTTTTAGCACTAACTAGAATCCCGTTTACTAAATTGCTTTAATATGTTATAATTTAAACAAATTTACAAATAGAGCTATTTTATTGTATTTAGGCATGTTGTAACATAACTACGGTATGTGATGTATTTGAGAAATTTTATTGCAAAATTAAATATGTCGTTAAGATTTCAGAATCTTAAAAGAAATTTATTATGTGGATTATGATTTAAAAAAAATATTTATGAATAAAATCTATTGTATATCATAGTCATGACTTTGTGTGTCACCAAATATTTTTTAAATATGCTATCCAAATTTAAAGATTTTTTAGGTCGCTGAATACTAACCTAATGTCAAAATTGAAAAAAATTCCAAAGAAATTTCAAAATTCACACATTTCTTTTAAGGATTGAAAAAATCGTAATAATATAGATTTACTTGAATTTGATTGCAATCAAACAACACTTTTACAGCATATTACAAATATAATATTACAAATATAATAAGTACAAAAACCAATAAAATAGGCGAAATAGCCCTTCTTGCGATTTCAATAGGTTTCTCAAAATTGTGACGTGATTAAAGTAATTTAACAAAAGAAATCTTTCAGTGCCTAAAAACTTATGGGAGACGATTACCTTTGTTGTGCATTTATTAAACAAAGAAACAAATCTATAAATCGTTTGTTTGTAGACAATGTATAAAACCCAGTTTGAATTGATATTCAATAATCCAGCTGAGTACTTGTGTATATACAGAACGGAATAGATGTGCTTTATTTTGTGATCTCTGCATTCAGATACGGATTTACCTATGAACAAACGCGCACAAACTATAATACAGCCCATAAATAAGCCGCAAATGCACTCAACGGTACAATTGACCATAAAACCAAGTCCCAGATACGAACCTCCGAGCTGTTGATTGCGTCCAAAATACGAAAAAATAGGATCACAGAAGTGAGGGGAAAAAACCGGGGCAGTTGTTCCTCTGTAAATAACAGTACTTATACCGACACGACACATTATCTACATACTGTACCGATTAAAACTGTTCCGGTCCCTGTCGTGAAACGATTTTTCAGCTTTTTAACTTTACAGCTCTTGCACACTTTACTCTTATCAGCCTTCTATTAGTAAGAAGTGTTTCCGTCGTATAACGCGATATACTGATGCTAGTTTCTCTTAATGCAATGAAAAAAGACAACAACCGAGTTTTACAAAATTAAGATCAATAATAGAATAAAAGTCAAAAGCTTTTAGCATCTCTTTTCGCTTGCACGTGCAAATGCGTGATAACATGTAGTGGAATTAAACATGCAAAACGCCAAGCGAAGAAGTGTCGCTAAATGATACGCCACGCTGAGAGAAAAGTGTTTGTGACTATAATTACACGGTAAAATAATTATAGTTAAGTTAATTATAGTTAAGTTCTATTTTTATAGTTATTTATTGCTTTAATATTAATAAAATAATTATTACATATTTATAATTTTATATATTTACCAAAAAAATATACAATTGACATTAAAAATTTCATAGCTCATCGTCATTTTTTCTATAAAATAACCATTTTCAGTGCTAATTATATATTTCGTGGTATGTAGAACTATAAATATAATAATAATTATTAATATTATAGCAATATAACAAGTATAAAACTGTCTGCTTCTAACCATAACTATTTCACCATGCAATTATAGTCACAAATGCTTTTCTCTCAATGTACTGTGGCTTTTGCCATTAAGCCGTGTGCATTACAGGCATCAAAGGATCCGCTTTCGTTCCCTCCAACTGATCTCCGCTATTAGAGTTCAATATAAGTTCAGCACAAGCTGTGCAGTAATACTATTCAATCGAACAAGCGGAGAGAGAGATAAGCGGATTCGTCACCAAGTCACGTAGCGATCAAATATAAATTTTATATCGGCTCGCAGGAGATGGTGGCGAAATCGAGAGGCAGACAGGCTCGCGTGGAGTATCGATTCCGATGCCGAATTCGCTGCCGAGCGCCGATTTGGTACCACGTTGCACGTCACTCAAGGGAACAAACCGATCAAGGGAATACCTCGTCTTAGGATCAATAACGACCGAAGCTGACAGCACGATCGTATTGTAAATGCGACCCAGGATGCGCGTAAACGAGGGATCGATCCCAGTTTACGGCAGTACCGTCTCGTCCTCTCGACGGTGCTTTTTCCTCGTTCAAAGGTGAAACGTACTTCTCGCGCGAATCAAAGGGAAGAAAGAGCGACGTGCTTATGACTATGATTATTACGATTTCTCGCGTGCCATCATGGCGTGGGACGATGATCCACGGAATGCGCGAACGACGGCGGAATTCTCGCTGAACCGATTACATTCTTACGTACGGCGCTTCAACGCGGTCGACCACCCCCTCGCGACTACTGGTACACGCGACCCTCGTGAGATCCAAGGTGGGTTGCGGTAGTCGCCGACGTCCCGACGTTTCGCCGGCATAACAGCGCACGATTTTCGCTACGGACATGCACAAGTTGGTTGCCGTGTGCTGCCGTTGTTATCTATGCCGCTATTACTTACCTTTCAACCTTCGACCTCCTTTAATCAGGAGCGTAGCGACCGACGGTCCACCCTCGAATAATCGCTGCGCGAGATGCTCCGGGAATGCCGGAAGTACTCTTCGATACGCGAAGGGAGGTAAGGTGGAGGTACCACCGATTATTAAGAACTAAGTCTGTAATTCGAATTACTTTGTCAATAATCCAAGTTGAAAATTATGTATAAAGATTATGCGTTTCACGGGTTCTCTTCGTGTCCAGATCCATTCTTGGAATGCCAACGTTTCGTGAACCTTGCAGTCCACTTCATCAGGGCAGCCTCTACTGATACTAGAATTTAAAATTATGTATTTATCGATATATATTCGTTCCTCAAATTTTCAATGCAATATAGAATAATTTAAAAAATATATGTATATAAATATAATTTACATATTGTATTTATATATAATATCCAGGGAATGGAAGTAACTCGTTACTTGTAACGAAGTTACAGTTACAAGTTACTTTTTTGGTAACTTTACTAGTAACT